TTAAAATAAGATGATTAGATAATATGCACCTGAAATAAGACAATGCAATTGTGTTTTATTGTTTGAAGTGTGAACGTTCTTGTTCCATTGGTAAAATGTCTCGTTTTACCTCCTCAATCCAAGAACAAATGTACTTATTTGAAGAAAAAGTGACTTATCTAGATTTCGATTTTTTTCCAGTGTCTGGAGTGCAACACCTGGTTAAGGCTGATGCACTCCGGAAAAAAAAGATGAAAAGAAAACCTAGGCAGGGGTTTAACTTTCTGGCCCTAGAATGTACACATCTGCTTGAAGCTTTGAAATATTCTAAAAGCATTATTTTCTCTTTAGGTGGAAAAAGTAGAGAATAATCCCCTGAAGTTGATGTTCGACCTGAAGAAAAAGCAGCTTGGCAGTTCATCTTCTAGAACCATGTTTCAGTGCATCCCAGCACAGTTCTGTGAGATGATCAGTAGGATTGGGTTCCAGGCTGAGTGTTCGCCGCCTGAAGGTAAATCACCAAAAGTATGAGGAGTTTGCTTTTTTTTTTTTTACAGAACTTTACATATAACTGGCAGAATTTCAGTTTACTGAGAGGACTTTATTTACTGAATTTATATGATAATGTAAAAGCACTTATCAATAAAAATGTGTTCATCCAAAATGAGAATAGCATTGATACTGCGCGTTTTGCCCTCATCAATGAAACCCTGAGACCTTTAATAGCTTTAGTGAATGAGGTTCTTTTATGGAAGAAAAACAGTCTGGATTGGAATCTGCCTTTTTTTTTTTTTGTACACTGAATTTTTTTAGACATTGAAATCCTTACACTGATTTTTTATGTGGTGAAAATTCAGCTGCAAATTATTACAATTTACAGCTTAGAGCCTTGGAAAATTTTTACAACTGAGACCCTTAATGACACAACCTGGATTTGAACCCAGGTCCTACATTGAATAACTTAAACTATGGGGACTGTAAACCTGCAAATAATCTCATAAAATACAATTTTCTCATCATATTTAAGAGTTCAGAAGGT